CGAAGTATCTGAGCAAGTCCCGGGCAAATCTGCTGTAGGTTGTGTGGTGTTCTGGTGATGTAAGTATTTTCACTGCCACATGGAACATCAGGAAATGCTCATACTGCTTATTTGTCAGCAAAGACCTCAGAAGCACTGGCCCTACATAGAGCAGAAAGGTCCTAAACTCAGTTGCCTTCCAGCGGTCCAGTTCTTCTGTGCCTCTCGGCTTCCTCTGGAAACCCGATGGAAAGGACATGGCTGACTGTCGCAGTCCTTCGTTGAGGCGGTTTCGTTGCTCTCTGCTCAACCTCGTCTTGTGTTCCTGGCAGACCCAATTGCGGAGAAGTCGGCGCATGACGCCTAAGCATATGAGGTGCATATACTCCGTCGGGAATAGTGACACCATGTCTACATTGAGCGTCAAAAACGGAGACAGGCCAGTGTGGTGGTGCTCATCGTCCTGGGCCCGGAATGATGCGTTTGTTCGCTCTGGTGCATACAAGTCTGGAAATGTCACCCGTCTATCAGTGTGTTGGCCTTTCTGGATGCACCGTTCACAAGCATGGTAGCCTGTATGTCCAATTACGGCTTTGACAAAACTTCGGGCAGGAGCATCCTACACCATCGCTGTTAGACTGACGTCAATGTGGATGCCCTTGATCACCATCCCATTAGAGGTGAGGTGAGAGACTTCTTCTAGGAACGGATGAAGGTAGTCTTGGAGGCTCGGCGGCTTCCCTTTGCCACAGTAGACACTCACCATAAATGGTGCAGACGCCTTGATGTTTGTTATGCGGCACAATATTGGCCAGAGGCCAACCTGGCTACTTTTGTATAACGGCAGCCCATCAATGTTGCCGTGGAGCTTCAGCTCGCGTGGAACAGGTGCGGTCCCCAAAGCTTGACGTATGCCTACCTCGAGGCCAAAGTGCGCAAAGGAACGATCGCTATCTAGCTTCGCTTTGCGTTCGGTCCGCATAACTGTGCGGGCATCTTTTGGAAGGTCGGGAATTCCTCGGCGACGGCAAAAATCTAGTACCTCGTTTATGTTGGCGTGGGTCATGTTGTGCCTGCCGGCGATCAAGGCGAACTCCTCGCTTGCAGAAAGTTCTTGCTCCGGAGGTCTATCATTGCAAGGTCCAGCGAAATAAGAACATCTTCCCTCTTGGTCCGAGTCTCCGGAGGACTGAGTGGAGGTGTCTGAGGAGTCAGTGGTCGAGCGCTGCTCCCCGTCTTCATTTGTCTCGCTCTCTCCAGACCTCTCGTCACTTGACATGGCCTGCGCAGTTTCATTGTTGCTACCTGGGTCGTTCTCCGTAGGCTGTTCCGAGGTGCCTTCGTCACAATCAACAATGCCTGAAAAAGTGGCTGGTCCGCTGCCACTGGCGCAAGCGTCGTTCGTGAAGGTATCAATTCGTGGTCTTTTGTTGCTCGGGCACTTCGGTGGCGGAAGTGGAGGCACGGTTTGTTGCGAGACGCCAAGCTCCGCAAGGATCTCGTCGTACTCCTTCTTGACGGTTCGATATTTTTTATATTTCGAGAACATACCGAAAGACGTGAAGCAGAGATTAAGTAAGAAAATTAACACTACGGCAAATACAACGGAGCGGGCATACGGATGGTTCAGCGCAGGCGGTAGATTTTAGCGCAACATATTAGCAGACGCTGGATTGTGGATTGGATTCGGATCTGTAATAAAACTGACTGTATATGTTAAAAAAAAAAGAAAAACGAAAACGATTTTATTTTACATTTTTGGAAGCCGGAGGCGGCGGACGAAAAAGGGAATAACGCACGGGACGTCTCAAACGCAGCTACTAACTTTATTGGCACAGTCCTTTCTATACCACTCTCCCGCACGCCAACCCAGAACGATTTTATTTACTCCATGTCTGAGACGGCTTCTCAATTAAACAAATTACTTCATAAGGCGGAAATCCAGAAACGAAAAAAAAAAATATATATATATATATATTAGTTAAACGCGTGAAACTGCTTGAAACACACCATTTCAGAACGAGTTCCAGAGTTCCTGGCGCAGTACCCAGCGTGCCGACCAAGTGCCCAGACAGCACCCACCCATAACGTGTTCAAACTTACGGTTAATTACGACTGCATATTTCGTATTTTAGTAATGTTTTTATTGCTCCAAATAACGTTTTCATTAAGAAATGTTTTGATTTTACAATAATAAAATTTTGTGTTTTAGTGCAAAGGTGGCGCTGTGGTCGAGTACGGGCCAGAACACATCCCGGATCCCGGATGTGAGGGCCGTTGGGTTTCTGTGTGTCCTTGTCAGGGAGCTGTCAAACGTTTTCCCTGCTTTGTTTTCGACCGTGTTCCTTGCTACGTTTTCGACGTTCACGCTGCGACCCGTCATCTGCGTGAGTATGCACATAATTTTTAATATGTTGCATGTTTACACTTTGGGTTAAGCGTTACCTCGTGCGTTTCAACAATAGTTCTTAATATGTTGCAGGTTTACACTTTTGGTTAAGCCTTACCTCGTGCGTTTCAACGAGCGGAAAGCCGCGCCGTGTATTAGGGTCGGAGCAATATAAGCGCGGCCCCGAATGGCTCCAGGCTTTGACAGTTGCTCCTCTGCACGGGATTTTGTACAGCCAATGTTTTAACTTGTGCGACGAGGTCGCGCTTAAGGGGAGACGCGGGTCTTCAAATATCAAAAAATCGCAAAAAATGCCATTTTTCAAAATTCACGATTTTGAGGTCTATATAGTCCAGAGTTTGTCCTCACAAAATATAAATGCTCAATTCAATCTCTAAATAGGAAAATAATGACAATTTGTAAGCGTTGACAGACCCGACTTGAAGCCTAAATTCTGAAATGTCAACAAAGTTCAAGCCGTCTGAGCTCTGCAACGGCTCAACCGATTGCAGCCATCTTGGTCTTGTTCGAAAGCTGGTTTCCCGCGCTTATTTTTCCCGCGCTCCAAAGCGGCGTACCCTTCAAAGCCGTGGCGTCATTGATGCCGGACGAAAGGCCGTCACCAGCGCTAGAAAGGCGCTGATTGGGCAAAGCGCGCGCTCCTCCAAGGCGCAGCTCTCTCATTGGCCAAGACGCGCGCTTCCTCTCCTGGCTTCCCCGGCGCGACGTCCAAGTCGCTCCGCGGGCTCCCGCGTCGTCTGCTTTCCCTCGCTTCGCCGTTCGAGGCGCACTTTACATTCGGATTTCTCCACTTTCTCTATCAATATTTTCAGTGTTTTCTTGTGCTTCCTAGTATTTTGTAGGTTCCCTGTCTTCCTCGCATGGTTCGTGTAAATATTTTGATGCCTCCTCTTTGTTTGGCTTTGCTTTTTCCTTTCTGCGCCGTTGTTCTTTGTTTCGTTCTGCGCACTTCGATGGTTGGGGACGCCGGTTTGAAACTTAACACGCAGAGACTAAACAGAAAGAGGAGACGTGCCTAGACCTCCGAATTGACAAAAACATTCCGCTTCGCCGATGCGCAAGTCTCTCTACCGCTGGTGGAAGCGACTGGATCAAGTTCGTATTCGACAACTTCGCCGATGCCTAGGGGGAAAAAAAAAAGACCTAAAAAGCCCTCAGGGCTAACCAATTGTTGCATATGGGGCTGCTTTCCCTACCCGTGTCTCTTCTTTAGTATGCAATTCTAACCAAAGGCATCCCATCAAAACATTGTTACTTATGCATATCCAAATTTCGAAGTCTATTACCCCAGCTTTTTTTTTTTCAGCATAGGCTTTTGATTCACTTGCGCTCAACCGATTTTCATAAACTCTGTACAATTTTCTTTGGAATGAACTAGGCTGCAAGCTAAAGCAACTTTTATATGATATTTAGGTATATAGAACTGGCATTTCATTATTAGACATTCTTATAGCCTCTATTATATGACTTCTGTTCACTTTAATTCTTTTACATGATTATATTGTGCTAAAGAAACAAAAATAGCTTTGCTTGTATGGTATTTCTTTAGGAAGCAAGTGATACCTTTTTTGCATTAAAATTTTAATAGGTTTTTTTTTTTAAACCCATGCTCAAATTCGCTAATTAATATTTTATATTGTTGATAACTTTTGAAAAAGAAGAGATATCTGAAATCTGATAGCAGTTATGGAATCAGCATAGTAAACTGCATGCCTATGCGAAACATCACTGACATACCAATAAACAATAAAATATTGTGCCGCACTTCCTCCCAGTGTGATTTTATAACATTTCACTAATTCTTTACTTTTATCATATTTTTTCCTAATGTTCCGATGAATGGATTACGTCATTTTTTATGTCAAGTTGTTCAGGAAGACTTACACTTCACCTTGATTTATTGTTTATCATTCTTCACACAATTTTCTATGTTCAATATCAAAACTTTAACTTCGATTTTCTCATCTTCGTGTTTTTTGTCAGCACGCTTAGCCTTACAGGTTTTTTCATTAGGTTTTTATCTCAGCATTCTGGAAACTTTGATACTGTTTTATTCAGAAAGCACTGGACTACGGAGTAAAGCTAATTTTTTAGTCTAGAGTTAAAAAAATTTTATGATAAATAATGTTACCTCGTTAATGTCATAATTGGCATAATTAGCCAATTTTTATATAATATTTTCATTTTGTGAAAATTTAAATAACTTTATAATGCATGGCAGACCTTTAGCTATGCATCTACATTAATAAAAAAAATATTTTTTGTTGGAAATGGCCTTAACGACTCGTAAGAAATTACCACATTAGGCAACGCTATTTTTAATAACTTGAGAACTACTTAAGATATTTTAAGACTGATTTCATATTTATATTGAGAAACAAGAAGCACATATGCACAGTGATTTTCATTAGAATAGCTGCAAAAATAAGAAAGTAAATTTTAGAACCTGATGGCAGGGCCACTTGTTACTGCAAACCTGTGTCCATATTTGTTTGTGACAGGTGGTGCATGCGCTGCTCCTTGGGGAGCTCTGGAACAGGATATGCAGTTAGTAAACATGACGCCTATCTTCACTGCTTCTTCCCTGTACAGAATGAAACAATTTGCGGTGGTGAAATTTCCACAAGAAAAAGACTGTGTGGCAGCCGTGCCCCTTTCATGGCTGTCGGAAAATCGTGCGGTCTGCCACTGGCCATCAAAAGATGCAGGCCTGGATGCTCTGGAACTGGCCAAGCAGGAGGCTTCACCAGGCACTGTGGAGGAAGGGTGGGAGCCCTTTCCAGTTGATGTACTGGGAACTTCGAGTAAGTAATTTGTGCATGTACTCTCTCTCCTTCTCTGCATGACTGCGATTACAAGTTTTATTTCTCCAAAAGGGGGTCAGAACTTCCAAGTACATGACATTTGGATTGAGACACCAGATTATCACAACTTAGCACATTACAGAGTTAGTGATTTTGAGAATTTGTTACACTTCTAAGGGGATTCACATTAGACAACAAAGTTTATGGTTCGAAACAATGGAGATATGAATTAATGTCTGAATACGAATGGAGATACGAATTAATGTCTTGATGTGTAAAGGCTGGTTCACACAGTAGCGTTAAGTGCGACTGCAACCGTCTGCAACGCTTAAAACAAGATTGCCTCTGCGAGATGGCAGATCTACTCTTTCAAAATGCATGTAGACACAATCGCAGCTGCTTCCCACTGCATTTTAAAGGGATGCGGAAACAAAATTCTAGCAGTCATTTTATCGTTTACATGCTCGCTAGGCAGTGGTATCACCTCTCAAAGACCTATATTTTGTCCAAAAAAACACCAAAAGGAATTTTAAAAATAATTCAACAGTAACCAAATAACACTTCGTGGCTGCTTCAAAAGGTTCGTTGGAAGTCGTTGCATCACATGCTGCAAAAGCATCATGTGATGCAACGACTTCCAAGAAGTCTGCGGAAGCGCGGCTTACCCATTTTAGGTGGCTTAGGCTTGAACGCAATTTTTTTTAAACCTTGGCAGAGAAAGTCGGTAGAGCTGGCCACAGCGAACCAACCTACTACCTCATGCCCATGCTTTTGCTTTGCTGCACACAACTTGAGAGATGGAACATATATAGACAAGGTCCCTGCACCGCTTCAGATCGTAGCTACACTGAGGTTGATCGTGGACTATGATTAGGCACGAGTGCCGCGTCAGTGTTTGGCTGGCACTCATGTTCAATCAGCATGTCGAAGGTCGGACGAAGACGAAGCAGAGGGATCGTAGACGTATGACTGCAGGCCGAATCTCCTCTCCGAAAACATGTAACGAGAGCAGGATCCTCGTCCTCGCTGACATCGTTAGCACCAAGGTAGTCGTTTCGGTACTCGTTCGATTGAGCCATGGTTATGGAATCGGTCCTGGCACAATCAAAGCGGGAACAGCTGCCAATATGCACGACTACCGCATGATAACACTTTGCATATGTGTGGGGTTGTCTTTAATTCCAAGTTAGTCTACGTTGCGCACGTCCTCGGACTTTAGGCTTTTTTCAGCTCTCTGCACAAGCGGGTCCAACGTTCGTTAGGCCTATCACATCTTCAGAGAGCCCTCCTTGCGCTGCATTGCACAGACTCGCTTGATTGAGCACACGGACGTCACGTCGCACACCAACACAAATCACGAGAACACCACACCACAGAAGTGGTTCAGATCGCAGTGCACAACGCACACACACACGGTTCGACTGGTTGACTCGTCCTTCGCTGCAATCTCGCCTGTGCCGCTGGGTGACGGAGCCACGGAGCTCTCGCTGGGTTGCGATTTCTCTTGAGCTTTGGTTATCTCACACGGCTGAGTTGCAACATGCTGACGCCTCCATGTGGCAAAGGTGATTATCATGGCAGCCTCCATGTAGCTTTGCCCATACTCGGAGCTATGACATCATGGATATCACTGAACATCCCAGCTTGCATTGCACCCTCCGATCGCCGCTCATCAAGTGCCAGCAAGATTCTGGCGTTTGGAACGGAAATTAGATCGACCCGCAAGAAATACCATCGTGCCATTGTCATCTACGTACAATAGGGATCGCATTTTGCTTGTTTCTGAACAAAATACCGTATAATTGCACGTAAGGGCTGCGCCCATGTAAGAGTCGTACCCCCGTATATAGGACAAAGTATTGCAAAAAAAAATATTTACAGAAATTATTTGTGTATGGGCCGCACCCCCTCGCTTTCGAGGCGCGCCGACTGTAATACCACGTTTCTATGAACATATATGGCTACGTGGCGCTAGCCACCGCCTGAGCACATAGCGGCACGTGTCCGCATCCCCGATATTTGCTCTCCACTCATCTGTATCGCCGTATGGCACAATGGCTGTTGACCTTGATCGTGGTCGGCCGCACTGTCAAGATGCGTTTATGTTGCGGCAAGGCATTGAGAAAAGATAAAGGATATGTCAGTTTACGTGGCAAGCGTGAGGAATGGGAATTCAGTGGGCTGGGCTTGTGCGTGCACTCGGGTTTCCGAACGCCACTGTACGCTCTGGGTAGGTATCCTTTTGTTCTTCGATTAATGTCAAAGTGTCTTGATTTGTCTGCATTTTCGCGCAATCTGAGAGCTATGCGCAAGTACCACTTCAACAGTCATACGCGATTCGAGCGGAAAGTTGTCGCGCATGCTATCAAATACGGCAAAAAAGAAAAAAAGTGTATTGTGCAGTATGTAAACAAATTAAGTCCGACTGCCGATTGAGTCCGGATACCATAGTGGGGGTGTTTCCGACCAGTGCAGCCGAGCGCGCTCATGTATGTTCATTTTGAAATGTGGATACAGATTTTTTTTTTTTTATCTGTGTATAGGCTGCATTTTGAAAATTTGCCCTCAAATCGGGAAAATAGTGCGGTCCTTACACGGGTATACGGTAGCTAAACATCAATTTTCGTTTCAGTACCCCTTTAAAACGGCAAATGCATTGGTAATGCTGCCATAGGCATGTTCTCGCAAACCCGCTATCTTAAGTGTCACAAGCGATTGCAGTCGCCCTCTGTTGGACTCAACGCGATTAACTGTGTCAGCCAGCCTTAAGTCTTCATGTATAGTAAGTGGAGACCTCTTTTACATCGATGGAACTGCTGCAGCAATTGCGTCCTTTGCTCAAAATGACTTTATATATCTACCATGCTCATACAAAAGTAAAACAAAATAAGAGCAAAGTTGCTAAAAAAATCTGTCCAGGTCCTACCAAAATTTCAAGTTCCTGCTGGTAACATAATACCAGCTTAGAGGGTAGATTCTTGAAAGTATCGATTTTCCACTGGCTTTTAGCTTGGTTGCATGGGGTTGGTGAAAATCTATAGTGCAGCGCATTGTAATTTGTTTGTATGAAGAAGCAGGTTTTTTTGTTTGTATAAAGGAGGCACTTAAATTTAATTTTCCTTACAGGCACCTACCAAAGAGCAGAGAAAAAGCTTACCAAGTGGATACACACATGTTCCATTGAGTCCTCGGAGATTTCCGGTGATCAGAGTTTAAATTTTTTATAGAAAGATGGTGGGAAATAATGAACTGTATTCTAATGGGCATATATATTTTACTACCTAGACAATGCAGTACCGGTAGAAAGGAGAGCAGAGGCGACTCATTCCCGTCTGCAGATACCAGTACTATGTAAGTAATAAATAAAAATATTTATTGTGCTGTTTTACTGAAGGGCTCTTTACGATAATATTTGCCTTCAGTATTTTCAACTAAACGCATTTGAATGAAGGGGGTTCTTCACATTCATGCCTCAAGGGTTTCTGTTGCCCCCCTGTCCCCCCGTCCCCTCCCCTCGAAAGGGCACAACCTTTAACGCCCAAAATATCCCTCATCTTGGTTGCAAGGTGATGGCCATAGTCTGAAGCCTATTCATCAGTTTTGCTTGTGCCCTAGACCCGTAAATGCATCACATGCTTTAGCAGCCCAGCTGAGCTCTCTACGTGAACAATCTCACTGTCGAAATTGTTCCTGCTTTAAAGGACACATGCAAAGGAAAAAAACATTTTTTTTAAACAGCTTAGAATGAAAAAGGATGTCATAAAATGATTTTACAACAGAGAAAAAAAAATTTTTAGAGCTATATTTACGACGCTATACGAGTTTGTAGTTGGCGCCCATCGGGAGCCGCCGCTGGTCACGTGGTAGGCCCGCGCCCGCCGTGCTGCGTCGGCGCCGCACGGTGCGCGTTGTGCGGACGCCGCTTCAACGCGTTTCTCCACGCTGCCGTCGGCGCCGCAGCACAAGGGGCGCCGCCACCGTCTGACCGGCACACAGGTCTATCACGTCTGCTTGCGCTTTGTCAGGAGTTTCCTTTGGGCTTTAAAAGTTACCTATTAATCTTAGTTTTTTTGTTATACTTCAAACAAAGATGAATAAGTTAACTTTTAGACGCCACACGAAGCTTCCGAAAGAGCGCAAGCACCGCGTGATAAATAAAGGCCAGTCACGTGACATAGAGGGGCCACTTTTCCGCGGCGCCGGCGGTTGCCAACTACAAATTCGTATAGCGCCGTAAGCATAGCTCTACAAATTTTTTTCTTCGTTGTAATATTGTTTTACGACATACTTTTTTCATTAAGCTGTTAAAAAAAAATGTTTTTTTCCTTTGCATGTGTCCTTTAAGATGTGCTCTTCTCATTTAGCTCACTCTGAATCTTGGGGAGAAGCAACCGGAGATCGAGATATAGAGGTTACACCTTTTTCTTCTAAACAATTGGTGGGTCAACGAACTGTGACAAGTGCAGGAGGTATGCTTTGCTGCGTAGTTACTTTAACATAGACTAGAAGGTTAAAAAAAGATAGACAGAAAAGAGTACAACATACATGTGAAGGCACAGACAAACCTTTAGGTAGAAGGAAGGGAAAAAAATAAGCAGTTCTTATTCCGCACCTTCACATGTACGTCATGTTTTTTTCTGTCTGTTTTTTAACCTTCAAGTCGACGTGTTTGTTATTGTGCAACTACGCAGTGCAGCATACCTCAGGACCTTGTTTTAGAGTGATTTCAACCCTTTCTTTTTTTTCGCACCAAAAAGCATGCCCACGAGGAAAGATGCTTGTTTTTATTTGTGGCTTTGCAGCATGGATACACTATATATATTTCACTTGTTCTCTTAAGTATGTTTTGGGCTAGGCATTATACAAATCCACAACCTCCATAATCTTCCAGTGATGGAAGCATAGGTAGTGCTTGTGCATTCACTAAACAACAGTAATCATTAGTGTTGTGACAGGAATTGGGGGTGCCCAGCTAGGACTTCTTGCTGCTAATGTTTCTTGTTATTCAGCCCCACAGGCCCCATCAAGCTCCTGTTCAAGTGACGGTCCTGGTGATTCTGCTCCGGCATCGAAGCAGCAGTCACAGCGGGTTGAAGAGCCTTCACAGATCCAGGCGAATGATGGAGCAACCCGTGAGTCTTCATTTATTCTTAAACAGTTACGGCCTACATAGGTTGAAGGCTGAGTCAGTTCTGTCATATAGGTAACGTAAGAAGGGCTGACTGCAGGCACATATCCAAGGGAGCGGCCCGGCCCCCCTCCCCCCCCCCCCCCCGAAATTTTCCATTTTGCTGGGACCTCCTCTCCCCCCATACAGCATTTTGACATGGGCGGGCCACCCCCAAAACAAAATCCTGGCTATGTGCCTGGCTGACTGTACCATCTTCTTCCTTGCTCAGGCTTAATTTTGCCAGGAAATGCAAACAGTAAGGCTGTGCTTCCTAGAAGATTGATGGAACCACCCTTTGCAAATCACCAAGTGGGTGGTGTTCAAACAAAACCGGGAGAAAAGCTCACCCAAATTATTGGGGATCTAGAGAAAAGCCTGCTTCGTTTTGATTCTACTTAGAAAAAAAGCTCTCCTGCAATCTAAGTTTTTGTTTAACAATGGGGAGTTTATTTTGTTGGGCCTGCACTTGGGGCGGTATCAGGATCAGGTCTCCAAAAACAAGCTACTAACTCCCCCCCCCCCCCCCCCCCCCCGGATGCGGAGACTACGAACATCTCGCAGCTGGTGCTGAAAAGCTGATCGCTATTGTATGTTTCGGTAAACAGCCTATGAACCGCTGAAATTGCACTTTACTATGCTTCATTTATTTTTATAGTCCTTAATTCTGTTATTATATAAAAATATTTCATTTTATATTTGTCACTGAACCTACGGCACCTCTAAATGTAAGTCCGTCTCTTCAAAAGAATCGTAGAAAAACTGCATGCATGTAAAGGCTTTGAGACCTTTCAGTTAAAGGGGAACACTGCTTCTTGAGGTTTTTTTCTTATTTACGGTCCAGCCCAAATGAAATTTATAGAGCATAATCATCTTCCCATTCTGATGACAAATATTTACTTTGTTTCAAAATAGCTTGGTTAGTTTTGATAAAATTAACTCTTTTATTTAAACATTTTATGGGCGAGATTCCAAAAAATTACGATGACGAAACTCAAAAAGGAATATATCTCTGTAAACTAGAAGGTCTATAGAATCCAATAAGGTATAAATAAAGGCTCCATGATTTTTATAACGTTTTTACAGCATTTCGAAATTTTCAGTTTATAAATTATTTTTTACAATATATTCGAGGTGCTAGCAAAAAATACTGATACCTAGGATGATGCAATTAGACCCCACTTATACACCTAACAAAGAAAGAAAGAATTAGGAAGATCGGTTGTGCACAGGCCGAGATACGGCTTCCGCAAAATAACAAACTGCGCAAAAAGTTCATTTCGAGAAAACAGCGAAAAACGTTCTCGTACATATTTTTACTGCACTTTCCAAAAATTCTTCATCTATCTACAAGGTAGAGGTTTAGTAGCCACCAGGAGATTTACTGCAAGTCCATAGTCGTGATCGCATTTTATGAGTTCGACATCGCCGCAACAAACTTCGCGAGTTGAAGGAGCGCGTTCACGACGTCGAGGCTTACGACGATGGAACCCTCTGTACTCTAGGGAGCTTCTTGATTGGCGCTCGAGACGCCAGCCATCAGAGCAGCTTTCCGCGTCGACGAAAGTTTTTTGAGTTTTTCCTCTGCTTTTTTTTCTTTCTCGTCGATCTCGGAAGCGCTGAGCATCACAGTGTCGAGCCGCACTCGCTCGCTTGAAGTCACCAATGTCGACGGCGCCGTCGATGCGTCATCTTCGTGTTCGGGCTCCCGCACCTCGTCGTCGACGTTCAGGCTCGCGGGAAGTTGAACTGCGCCGTGGATTAGCTTCCTCAGGCCTTTTTTTTCCCGTTTTTTTCCAAACTTGTGGGCCGTTTGAAACTTTTTCCGTGGAGTTGTGCTCGGCATGGTCGGAGACGCGCACGAGAATCAAACAAGATGGCGGATCGGAAACAACGAGCAGACGCTGCGTAACCCTAACAGCCAATGAGAAAGCGTCATTTGCACACATGATCCGAAACAGCCAACAGCGTGGCAAGATTTAGTTTTTTATTTGTGCTTCGTTCTCAGCGGCCAATCGCCGTCTAGCATCGTGAATGGCGGGAGAAGAAAGAGCGGGAACGGAGCTTTCAAATGAGACCAAGATGTCTCCCTTCTATCGCGTTGTTCTCGAGCTAAAGGCGGTCAAATTGTACCATTTTTTTGCTTGTTTGGGAGGACGCATCTCCGTTTAGATACTTCAAATCAATACTCCAAAATAAATAGGGCATATTGTGCGATAATACTTGGAGAAAAGATGCGAAAATACCTGTAAATGTTAAAAAACATAGTTTCAAAAATGTGATTCTTTTTTTCATTTTTTCTTTCGTTTCAAGGAGCCGTGTCCCCCCTTAAATCAGTGCTTGATTTCTGCTGTTTGGACCACTTGACCATTGTCCACTGCGCTGCCCCGAAGCTCCCTTGTGATGTGCTTTATACGAAAATTACAGCAGCCCATTTTTTTCGTATTAGCTGCGCTGCATTGTCGCACCATGCTTGGCAGGGCTTTACTTTTTATATTTTCGTGGGCAAAGCGCACTGAGCGCTGGCATCTCACAAGGAAATATTTGCTTGTGTTTCAGGTGCCCAGCTGCGGATCATCCACCTGCTAGTGGAACTCCGCCACCAGAACCGTGAGATGCAGCACGAGACTATGCAGCTGAGGCTGGATGTCCAGCAGCTGTCGGACCAAATAGCAGCTCTAGAGGTGCCAACGGGGCAAGCTGCACCGATCCCGACGGCTGCGATTCTTCTACGGGAACTCCCGAGGCTGCCAGCCAGCACCCTGGAGGAGTTGGAAGCAGCGGAGGCAGCCATTCACGACGAGGCTGTAGCCACAGTCTTGGTAATAACAACATCTTGATTCTCTCTATCCCTATCTTGTATTGCTATGCGCTGTTACACACTATTTTTGATTTTTAAATTGTACACCTACTGTACAATACTGAGGAAGCGCCCACCCCTCTTCTGCTGAAGAAATGGTTAAAGGGCAACTCCGCTCAATTCCGAAAAATTTAGGCTTACATGTGATTCCATTTCACAAAGCACTACTAAACAGCTCTACGTCTTCGGATTTGCGAAATGTGAAATAATATTTGTGTAATCTTAATTTAAACATCAGCTGAAACCGGAACTTCGGTTGCATCAGGCAACATTGGCCGCGGGTCATCAGAGTCATGGCCACGTCACGTCGAACCACGTGGTCTTGTGCCGTTCGTGGGGGCGAGGAACAGGACACGCGACGTGGACAGGTCGCTTCGGATGGCGTGGATGGTGACGGCCCGGGGGAGAGGGAGAAGACGAAAGAGGAGAAGGGGAGGCAGAGAAACAGACCGATAAGTGCGCCGGGCAGCGCAAACTAGTGCATCCGCGTTACGGTGATCACGTGGACGCCGTCGAGCCAACACCGGGAGGAGAAACTCATGACGTCATCGTTCAATTTCGCTCCGAGAAGTAAAAACAAACAAAACGTGAGAATGACGTAGACATGCCTCTGACGTAGTGGCTTATCGTTGGGTGCTCCAACTCCGTCGTATTGACTGCGCTGACGATTGCGCCTCACGTCGCACGCTAGAGTTGGCAGATTTTGGCGACTTGGCTTATTTGAAAGTTCGCTGGCCAGTTTATTAAATATATAGACGGAATTAGATCGTAATATTTGACATGAGGTCTTCCTATATGATATTGAAGAGGGCTGCATAGTTTTCTAAATATCAAAAATGAAGCGGAGTTGCCTTTTAAACTTGGTATGGGCGCTTTATCTGTCCAAGCGGTTAAAACCAAGATTGCAGCTACTGAGGCGCAGTGAATGGGGGAAGAAAGCATTTTTTTTTAATGACAAATGATTGGTGGACAGTACTCTACCATATTTACAGTACTAGTCTACCATATTTACTTGCATACTCAATGCACTTGCATAATTATGCACCCCCAACTTGAGCTTCAAAAACGTTGTTTTTCTCCTGTACGCATTTAACACATCCACAATATACGAAGGAAGCAACAGGATGCCACAGTAGTGCATGCCGCGTGCAGCAACAAAGCCGTCATATAAAAAGAAAGCCAGACAGCAGCCCAGAATTGCCAGGCCCCCTCAAAAATGCAAGTGGAGGATGTGCTGACAAGAAGGAAAGCATGCGCAAATCTCGTTTATTGTGAAGACAGGATGTCACGGGAACTATGGAAGCACACGCTTCGACAGCTTCGATCCTGTGCTTGTAATCGCCGAGAGCGACTGAGTGTGTTCCGGATTTCGACATTCAGCCTGGTTTTCAATGATGTGCTTTGCACAACTAACATGTTCCGGATTGGAAATTCTGCAAGGTTTTCATTAGGGCTGCAGTGGCTACAGCCAAAGTTGTATCTACTGTAAAATACCGAGTAAGCCCCCATTTCCTAACAAGTGCCCACTACTAACATTGCAATTTTCCCAAGGGCCGTGGCCCGCGCGCGGGGAATTGTGGGAGAGGCTGTCCCTCGCCTGGCCACTCTGCCTTGAGATCGCATTACCTTGTCGCTTGTCTCCTCTTAATTCTGTTTTTCGATTCCATTACCTATTTTTATCTATTCCAGTGTATTTGTTATTGCTTTTAAGTGTTTCTATTCTCTTCTGCGCATGATACTTGTATATATATAGTATTCACGTCTTTATTTTGCCTTTTTCGACGGGAGTGCCGACGAACAACACGCCGCTTCGCACGTCGTCCCCGGGTGAGTTCTACCGTTGCTACCGATTCCCATTGAGTTGTTAGCTGTTCATTTTGGTTCATTTGACCTGCGTGCGTGCGGTCGAGAGGAGCTGTTTGTGAACACCCGCGCACATGTCGTAGGGGTAGGCAGAGCTCTGAATCAACATCTTGGGACACGGCGCGAACAACAGACGCGGGCGATGAAGAAACACTCTGGACAAGCGCTGACTATCAACTGAAATATTTTAATAGGAAAACTCATAAAAACGACCATTCATCTTTTGCAGTTCACCAACCCGTCTGCGTATTACAAGACACTTGCGGCTCTAACGTCGCAATTGTTGATTCAAAGTTCTGCCTACCCCTATGACATGTACGCGGGTTAAATGAACTAAAATGAACAGTTAACAGCGCGATAGGAATCTGTAGCAACGGTAGTACTCACCCGGGTAACGACACGCGAGCAGCGTGTTGTCCGTTGGCACTCCTGTCGAAAAAGGCAACGAAGACACAAATATTGTCTATATAACAGAAATATTGCGTGCAGAAGAGAATAGGAACACAAGCAATAAAAATACGCTGGAATAGATAAAAAAAATAGGTAATGGAATCGAAAAACACAGGATTGAGAGGAGACAAGGCAATGCCATCTCAAGGCACAGTGGCCAGGCGAGGGACAACCTCTCCCCACAATTCCTCGCGCGCGGACCTGGGCGCTTGGGAAAATTGCAAATCGTCTATTTGGAACTTGTGTTTTAAGACACATACTTCGTTTGCTTTCCGAAGCCACCAACATGTGGGTGCTGGCCTGTGGAAAATCCGTGCTGGGATATGGATTTGAAGACATGCAAAGGTGTATGATTAATGTACTAATGTTAGCTTCTTTTGTCATTTTTCATGTTTTGCAGAAGGAGCAGCTCCTCAGAATTGGAGGGAGAACACTGCTGGAAACGACAGCAAACGTCATGAAAGGTTTAATAGGCCACTCTGTCCAAGTCCTATTTTCACTGTACGGGCGGAAGGGGAAGAGGCCATTTAACAGCATGCAGCTGTGCAGAGTTGCAATTGGTAATATATTTCTAAATTTTGATCTGCAAACTTAATTCATCATTTACTGCTAGTGGCAGGCAGTGTGCTTTGCTATAGTCATTACAGCTTAAGTATTCAATGACATAGTGGACTCGAAGCATTATGCACCTGTTTTGAGTGTCTCAATCTTGTGTCAAAAAAATAGTTCGCTATGGCACGGACCCTTTTTTTTTCCAGGATAAGGGCTTAGTTCGAAGACTATCTTTTTTATTAAAATGGTCGCTGGCACGTCATGCTTTGTATATGCTATGTGCCAACCTCTTCTTGGATTCGTTGCAGGCATTATACCAAACATGTGTCCTGGTGACTCGTGCTCGAGGCTCATACCTTGCACTTTGTGTGCTATTTCTCATTATAGTAAAAAGTCTTACTGCTATTTACAACTTGGTCACTGGACCAGCAATATTAATGTAATGGCACCACAAATGACCCTATATAAATGTCATGGATGAAGAAAGAATAAACAATTAAAACAGGGACAACACAACCACATCTTTCAACTAGCAACAGACGAGTAAACTTTCAACAGCGAGCAGCCGACTATACCCAGTAGGAGTAGGGGAGAGAAGGAAAGATAAAACACGCGAGTTTTGCAAGTCAGGGTGGTAGCGTTATCTCGGATTTTAAAAATTCAACCTCGGTTTTCGTCAGCAGGAGGGAAGGGTTTGACACGTTGTTTTTTGCTGTGGTCATGGCGAATGATTCTATGATTTCCCTGCCGAATCTGCTGTCATGCCCCCCAAGGATTTTTGTGTCATCAAAGAGGGGATGACAATGCAAACACGAACGGGCATGTATGACTATGGGACGATAAGAATCTGGAGAGGCCTTAGAAACTTCGTTGTGATGTTCGCGGAGTCTGTGATTGTGCATCTGCCGGTCTGTCCTATGTATTGATGGCCACAGCTCAAGGGGATGGAGTAAACTTTCTTCTCTTTGCATGGGATGAATTTCTTTTCGAGTTTGACAGTGCATCCAATCGGAATCCGGTTGTTGTTCACTTGTTGACAGAGTTTAAGACGCATGCGGCACGAGAAGACAACATTCGTGTCGAACTTTGAGGCAAGGGATTTTATCCGGTGGGCTGAATTGTGTACGTAAGGAATGACGGCGAATCGGGCTTTCTTTTTTGTGGCTGGTGACTGGCGATCAGGCCCGCGAATCATCCTTTCCATTGTCTTCTCGTGCCGCATGCGTCTTAAACAACTCTGTCAACAAGTGAACAACAACCGGATTCCAATTGGCTGCACCGTCAAACACGAAAAGAAATTCATTCCATGCAAAGAGAAGAAAGTTTACTCCATCCCCTTGAGCTGTGGCCATCAATACATAGGACAGACCGGCAGATGCACCAATCACAGACTCCGCGAACATCACAACGAAGTTTCTAAGGCCTCTCCAGATTCTTATCATCCCATAGTCATACATGCCCGTTCGTGTTTGCGTTGTCATCCCCTCTTTGATGACACGAAAATCCTTGGGGGGCATGACAGCAGATTCGGCAGGGAAATCATAGAATCATTCGCCATGACCACAGCAAAAAACAACGTGTCAAACCCTTCCCTCCTGCTGACGAAAACCGAGGTTGAATTTTTAAAATCCGAGATAACGCTACCACCCTGACTTGCAAAACTCGCGTGTTTTATCTTTCCTTCTCTCCCCTACTCCTACTGGGTATAGTCGGCTGCTCGCTGTTGAAAGTTTACTCGTCTGTTGCTAGTTGAAAGATGTGGTTGTGTTGTCCCTGTTTTAATTGTTTATTCTTTCTTCATCCATGACTTAAACCAACACGCTCTTCTACCAAGCATATCAGTGTCAGTGAGCTGTTTTGAAGCATAAACAGGACCCATTTCATGACAACTCGTTCTGCATGTGGAAGAATATTGCTTTGAAAACATGATTTAGGTAAGTAAATAACTAGTCAGCAGAGAAGCAAGCAAACTCCAGTCGGGTGGCCTCGAA